CGTTAATGCAATTTTGCTCACGGCACTTTCGCTCACGGCTCATCAAAAAGGTAAATGGTAGCAATATCAATATGCAATTATATATTTTATATTTTATTTATTTGGCGAACAATTTTTCACAAACACAAAGGCTTTTCTATTGAAAATGGAATTACAGTTACATGGATGGGATATTATATGGAACCAAATATCGGTTGGGACCAAATGAAATAGGGTGAGACCTATGTTTATCACCCTATACTTCCGGTAGTGCATGGCAGTGATTTCCGGCAGTGCATACCAATTTTTTTTTTGGAAATTTTGACATTCTGTTTTGGAGGCACATTCGTTGCGAATTAACCCTTATGTGGCATGTGCGACAGATCAGAGTGTGTCAGACAGAGTTGCCGTTTTGATACAATTGTATCATTTTTGATATTTTTTTTCTAAACTACAAGGTTTTTTTTTTTTTTTGATTGGATATTGTTTTGGATAACTAATTATACCTAATTATAACTAATTTTATAACTATTGAACAAAGTTGACACCAAGTTGACAACTGACTTGTTCGACGAACAAGATAAAAGAGAATGTGAGAAGCGCAAATTTTCTTAATATTAAAATTTCGACAGTAAACGTGTTTTAATTGTGCTAAATTTTAAAGATATGTAATTTACAATGAGAATTTGTTAGGAAAATGTGAAAAATTGAGATTTTTGTGCAAATTTTAGTAAATTTCAGTGCATTTAAAGTTTCTGAGGCATCGTCGCGAAAACCAAAGTAGCGGTATATCCGGCGGCGCCACCTTGTTCGCTGCATCGTGGATTGCACTTAAATTTTTTTATACCTATTGCCAACACGAAATAATAATTGTAGATGCACATATCGTACACAAATAAATCTGAAGCCGCTCTAAAAATTTAGTTTTTTCATTCGCTTGTTTTTACGTGATCCGGTTTGATTCGTTCATGGCATGGCACAATAAACAGATAGCAGCGTCGTAGCAAATACAACAAGTGCATATATTTTGATGTTGCTTGGGGTCCATAAAGTGTCAAAAGACAAACGTCAAATTTGCTGAGTTTGATAATTCAAAGAAAAGCAAAATGGCCGACAAGTCAAGAAACGTGAGTATTGAAATTCGTTATATAAAATTTATAAGCTTTTCAAAGAGCATTACAACGCCCTATATTAGGATATAGATGCAGAATTATGTATTATAATCAACTATTGCTTCTAGCTCCTTCCGTTCGGTTCGGAGACCAAAAGCTGGTCATCGTCCAGCATTGTCCACCGACTGTAGACCGACCCTACGTACGCAGATACTGAGCTCGTGGCGCTCTCAGTATATGTCGCGGTATCGGGAACACCGGTTGGTAGGTCCACAGGTTCACTCGTGGTTTTTCCTGTCGACCCGGCGCTGTCTCCCTTCGATGCAGAGTCGGAGGCACCAGGTCCGCTCGAGGCGTTGCCTGTTTTGTTGCCTCTTCGTCTGTAGAATTATCCCATGGAGTGGGTCCGCTCGAGGCGTTACCCATCTCGTCCCCTAAAAGAATTGTGTGATGGAAACTAACACATTTGCAAATTGTGCGTTGGTTAAAAAGAGACCACAAAATAAGGCCATAATTTGGAGGAAGATCACATGTACACAAATGTTTACATCACGTTTTTCATATTGCTCTTAAAAAGTTGATAGAACTACTTTATTGAGATCTCCATCACCAGTGAGTATCACATGATCAATCAATGACTATCACGTTCGTTTTACAAAAGTGGGGATTTCTATAGCATTTCATTGAAAGAAATCATGAAAATATATGGGACATTTTGCTGGATTTCAAAGGTTTTCGCGAAATCTCATATTTTCGTGCGGAGAGAATGTACAATTACTCTCAATTATGCTTTACATTTTGCGTGAAATTTCTTTACTTACTTACCTTTATAATTATTAAAGTACATTAATTAATTTTTTATATCAACGAAATTAAAGATTTGGCACGACTTTCAGAAAGAGCACACTGCAAAGTATTTAATAATAGAAGGTTCTTTTTCAAATACCAGTATTGGGTACAAAAGTGGAAAATAATAATAAAAGGGCCTTTTCTCCTATCACGCTAGTTATATTATCCTATTTGGTAGGCCTATTTCGTAATTTTAGTGCCTTTCCTTGTCCTTTCTAGGAATTCTTAATGAGGGTACTCACAGTTCGTTTCGAAATAGGTCCCAAAATGTAAACATCAGATTTCTAACCGTAAATTCTGTGGTATTGTTGTTTCCCATACAAAATTGTGAAACGACACCATAACACCAGAAGGTTTGTTTTTTAGCGTTAATACTTCGTAACCTCGAAGTAGGGTTGCATTGAGGCAACACCAAACAATTTTTTTTTTAATTTATTTATTGGGAGCTTTTCCATATTTGCATTTTATGTGAACGCAATGACTGATGAAAACAAACAAATTAAGGTAAAAAAAAACAACCATTTAAACTGTAAACGAAATGGTAGAATTTTCGTAAAAAAAGAAAGGTCTATTAAAACTAGAAAAGTTTTCCGACGATTTTGCGACGTCTACTGGAAAAGACTGCTCCGAGTTTGATGCTAAAAAAGTTACAAAATGTTCACATCACCATTTTTAAACCCATACTGGAACGACAGTGAACACCCAAAGGTTTATTTCGTCTATTTCTTGATTAAATTTTAACTTTTTGCAGATTTTTGAGTCCCAAAACTGCTTACCTTGCTTATCAATAAAACCGTTCGAGATGGCAGCATTGGTCGAGACCAATCACATTTCACCACCGCAACGCTTTACTCACCACACTCATCCGCTTTCTTTTCTCTTATTAACTGTCAAACATTACCGGTTTGAAACTTTACTGAGGAAGTAAGACACGTCGCATGTTTTTCACAATCACTAAGTTATATTTTTCTTTTGATCATAAATAAATACCAATTAATATTAAAACAACTAACACAGCCACCGCAATGCCGATAAGCCAAAATTTCTTCTGCAAGCCAGCAATGAGTAGAAAATAAAAACAAACGGTAGAAATATGTATGTATGTATGTACACATATAAAAAAGCGAATATTAGCCGCCTTCGATTCGCCGCTTCTCAGTTTGAGTTCCGCCCACTAACGAAAATTTGTGTGTGAAAGCAACAACAAAGTCAGCAAGCAGCGATGAACCTCGCTAAGAGGTCGGCGAATCGATGGTGGCTTTTCATTCAATCATCTAACCTTTAAAGCCTTCTGCTTCAACGTTTCAGCCTTTTTCAGCTTATGCTGACCTTTATCCACGAAGTGTGTCGCTTGTTGAGCAACAAATTCAACGCGGTTTATCGTTTCCCTCTGCAAATACACGTACCCGTGAATAAGAACCCATTAAACATTTGGGTTGGAGATCAAAGTGGAGATCCAATAAAAATTCCAAGGTCCAATGTTGATTTTCAAGTGTACCTCAATTGGAGAATCAAGCCATTCTCTAACAAAAGGGCACATTTTTTGTATGGAAAATAATCTGAGTTCTCTACTTGAGAAAAGCTTGGATATCAATTTGAATTCACACTTTATTCAGGTTTTAGTCAAACCTTGGAAAAAATGTTGGAGAAAAATGTTGGATCTCCATTTGTAAATCAAGAATTTCTCAAAGATTGGAAAAAAGTTGGAAATATGTTTGCTATGTGCATATTGGGAATTAAGTAACTGACAGTGTTGGAGAACAAAGTATGTGTATGTGTGTGTGTGTGTGATATACGCACCTGTTCCATTACAAGTGTTTGAATACGCAGGAATAACGCATGTACATCTTCAATGGACTTCTCCAGCTTCTTTAGCTCATTGAAACGATCCATCAAATCGCGTAGCGTGCGTCGTTCATTTTCGGTTTCTTCTAGAATCTGTGTGCGAAATAGACAGGTTTGTTTCGGTATTTATTGCATTGTCTTGTTGTTTTGAAAATAAATCTAAACACTTACATTGCCTACGAAGAGATTTGTTGTCTTATTTGCTATCAGTTCTTCGATTTCCTCTTCGGTGGAGTTGCAATTCACTAGAAAGGGTAAATATTTCAATAAATATTTGCTTGTGTTTACTAATTTAAAGTGATTGCAGTGTATCTACACTTAAATAGTACCCACTTATTTTTGAATGTATTTCCAAATTCTTCTTCAGCTTTCGCTCGTACAGCTGCAGGAATTCTTCATTTTTCGTCCATATTTGTATGTAACTTTGATAGAGACCATAGAATAGCGTTCGTTTCATGCGCGCCTCCAATGTGAAATCATTCTCTGGCGGCATATTCGATTTGAATTCCTTGAATTTGTTCATTAGTTGATTGCCCATTTTAAGATTTTGAGTACGCAGTTCGTCCATTTCTTTTTCTGTGAGATCAGAAATTATTTTAATTTTTATGGTATGCTATAGATTTATGTTTGGTTCTGCTAAATAACAATTACATATAAAAGTTTACTTACCATTAAAATTACGTATATTTATTGTTTGCACCATACGATTCATTGTGTCCAAATTCGCGGAAATTTGTGCCAATTGTACTCGTATCTCCGAATACTGAAAAAAGTCAAAGTTTGTTATTAAATAATTAAATTAAATGAATTAAAAGCTGATTAAAGGTAGTAATATAAATTTATTTTGAGTTAGCCTGGTATTTATATTTTGATGGCCGTGTATATTTCGCCGTGATTGGGTATAAATTGTCAAACACCAAAAGTTTCGTATCACAATTAACCTGAAACTTGTAACTTAAAGTTGCAGCAAAAAAATAAATCCGTCTAAATAATTCTTCTGAGGTTATAGTTATGAGGAGATGTCCTTTAAAAAAGTACCAATCAAATCTAGTTCGCCTAAAAAGCTCAAATATCGATCAGAAAAAATTAAGCGACCATAAAAATCTAATTAAGCTGATTTTGCAAACCCCTCTGGGATTTGACTTATAGATAGAAAACTTATGGTGTAGACTGGGCATTTGCAAATATACACTCGAATCTACTAGTTTTCGGGCTTAAATATCTGGCTACATAAAACATCTGTGCGGAATATATGTATGTATGTAATTTGGGGGCAAAAACAACCTTTTTTAAAAATTACCTAAGAAGTTTTTCCACCTGCTCGTACTTGCCTGTGTAACATAGAAAAGAATTGACATGTAGTCTGAGTGTTGTTTTCTGCTCGCCTTATTTTGTGCCTGGTTCCGCAAAAAAAAAGTGCTTGGCAAAAGGTAGCTAATAGTTCAATTAATTGCCTAGGTATTTGTACACGTTTAAAACTTCCACCGTTTGCATACAAATGCCTTGGACACACACACGAAATAATGGCAATTTTTTCTCGACCGTTTTTTTTAGAGCTGCAGACGGGCCCTACCGCTTAGACCCCACTGTGAACAGTACACACTCATCGCCTCTACGTACTGTTTTCGTGTTCCCTTTTAATCAGGGACCGTAACGGTCATCATGTTTATATTATTTAAAAATCATAATTTAGCCGTTAAAATTGGATTTTTATTTTTTTCGATCAAATTTAACCGTTATTTTATGAAGTGTCGAGCGCTATTTTCGATCATATTATAACCATTATTTTTAATTTTTTAGATCAATAAGTGTGTCATAAAAATACATAAGAAAAATACTAATCCTGAAAAGATTATTTTTGATCGGAAAAATGAAATTAAAAAAAGGTTATTTTCGGTACCTGGTCTTTTCAAGGCAAAAACAGGTGACGTGCAATAATGTCAATGGAATTAATGTCAATGGACATAAATTCATTTAAGTAAGGCAATAAATGTCAATGACATTAATACACAATTGAAAAGCTTTACGGTGACGTGTAATAAGGTCAGCGGAAATAACGTCCAAAGGAGTTGGTCGCCTTAAAGAAAAATCTTGCCGAACAAATATTATTTCTGGATAGGTAGTCCATCGGAATCCGCAATAAAATTTAAATTTTTGCAAAAACCCGAAATCACATGTTTTCGAAAACAAATTACAAAAAATTGTAAAACGCCCATTTTTTGAAACATAATTTTTTATAGAGAATTAAACAAGGACTACGATGGTGTAATTTTAAATCGCTAATTTTCTGGTCTTAACTATGCAAATCGACTTCAAAAAGTTCAACTGTCAATAGCTAGGTAAGATCTAAGGCAATCATGACCATCTTATATATAGACATGTTTAGTCCGTTTCTTTACCTTTAAAACGACGTTCCGAAGAAGTCTCAACGCTGAGCAGAACCCGAGATATAACGATTTGAAGAAGTACATGAATGTTCATATGTTCGAAGAAAAAAAATTCCTCGAATACGTGTTAGCTTATAAAAAAATAAATTGAAGCGCGGTCGCCCCTCGGCCTCCGTGTGTATTTCTGCCCTGGAAAACAGCTTCTCATAAAAATACAAACGCAGTTGGGAGTCGGCGTAAAACTGTACGTTCCTACCCTTTGTGTGACAACTTCAAGGCGCACGCCACAAATCGGAGGAGAAGCTCGGCCTAACACTAACATGTGTGTAGCGCCAATCTATTATTATTTTAAGTATGCTCCAATAGCCTGAAAAATTCTGCATGCACACGCGTGGTCTATTTACAATCTAATGGTACGCAAATATACATACATATATTTTTTTACAAAAAACCACTAACAGATAAAGTGATTGTTTTCCTCATTCAACTCTAAAGGAGTTCCTTTTCTTCTACATAGTACATATGTTTGCATGTAGATGTATATATGAAAACAATAGTAATTGTCAATCGCTGTCATCTATCAATGGATTACGTTGTATGCTGATATGATAAAATGAAACAATTTCTTCCAGACCCTTCTTGTCTTGAGTACTTGTACTGGATAGTGAAAGAATTACGCAAGCAAAAATTACTCTTTACTTAATAAAGTTTTTTTTCTTTTTTAAACTTATATAGGCATTTGCATACTTATGTATATAAAAAGTAATAAAGACATGTGCTATAACAATGACGTAAATCTATTTAAATTAGCCGCCTATTAATAAAGAATACTTTTGAAAAAAAAAAAACGCCAGCTGCATTTACAGAAATGCACATTTGCTTTATTGAACTGCATGCGGCATATTCATTTACGAGCAATCTAAGTATTTACATATACATACATACATACAAATGTACATACGTTTGTATATAGTATGTATATTTAATAATTTCGATTGCATTTGACGAGCGTAAAAGCGACATGTGAGTAACAAGCGCTAGCGCAAATTCTAATTACTCTCCGCTCTAAAGAAATAAAATGAAAACAAATTGCATTCTTTCGAAACTAGTGAGTAAATGCTTGTAACTCCTCAGTCCTCTGTAGGAGAATGTATAACTAAAATACACAAGTGCAAAAATGTTTCTGACAATTTTACACTACTCCATGTAACGCTCGTGCAACCCACCACTTATTACAGCTCGTCAATCCATTTTTATTGGGTACTCGCTGAACACGCGAACCTGACCATAGACATGTAAAAAGACGGCCATTATAACTAATTTCCCCTACTAATTACTAATTCTACAAAATATGGTACATAGTCGAAGTACTTCCTTAACGAGTTATATGTATATGGTTCAATTCATGTCAAATCGACTTATGGTTGGAATCGACCATTTTTAATTTGGATGAATTTTGGTTAGACCTTTTTTTTATCGTATAACAAAGTTATGCCAAATGAACCAAAAAATAAAATATTTTGAAAGTTCAAAATTTCACAATTTCTGGGATTTTTCAAGTTTATTTTTTGAATATCAAAATGTACAGTTACAAAAATGGTTCTGATCTAGTGATATTTGGGATTATATAAAAGAAATAAGAAAAATAAAAAAAAAAACACAGAATTTGGTACATTAAAAAATCGCAAAAGCACAAATGAATTTTTGGCTCAGTTTTTTTATTCAATACCTGAAGCTTTCAAAAAGGTGTTTTAAAAATATGAATTTGTGAACTATAAAAAAATATTTTATTGCAAACTTTAAATCCAAAATAAGTTTACATTAAATAAAAACTGTTTAACATAACTTTATCTACAGTTTGCAAAAAAAAGTGGTTTTCAAAGTTCAAAAAGTAATGTCTTAAAAAGCACCTTGAAAACTTTAGGATCTCTTAAGATCAATTTATATATAGTCAGCCCCAAAAATATGAATACCCTGACGTTTTGATTATTTTATTTATTTAAATTTTCCATAAGAATTTTTCATTATTTTTTCATAAAAATATATGTATTTCATTCAACAGCAAAACCAGCAAAATCAATTTTTTTAATTTCATATAGAACTCAGAAAATTCAAGAAATACCAACAAATTTTTATCGAAATTTTCAACTTTTCACTTCGATTTCTTGGAAACATTTTGAGTATGCAGTTTTGTTGTAGCCTATTATATTTTATTTTAATAAGGTGTAAGTTTCAAGCCTCTAAAAATTACCGTTGATTTTTAAGAATTTTTTTTGTCAAGGACGTCACGTATTTTCTTCCATACATCACATTAAAAAAATTTTCTTTCATATGGAAGAAAATGCGCAACATCCTCAATAAAAAAAAAAAACAATCTCAAAAATCAACGGTAATATTTAGAGACTTAAAACTTGCGCCTTATTATACTTAAACTTAATAGGCTACAAAACTGCACACTCTTAATATTTCTAAGAAATCGAATTGAAAAGTTGAAACTTTTTTGGTATTTCTTGAATTTTTCCGAGTTTTATATGAAATTAAAAAAAAGAAATTGATGCTGCTGGTTTTTTCTGTTGAATGAACTATACGCCAAATATAAATAAGTAAAATCGTCAAAACGTCAGGATATTAATATTTTTAACGCCGGATGTAAGTTTTTGCAATTTTTTGATTTCAAAATTCTGTAACTTTTTTTTTATAGAGTTTGTCTTTGTGGTCTTAAACGAGGATAGAACCATTTTTGAACCTATAACAGTTTTTTGTAATATTCAGAAAATAAACTTGTAAAATCCCGAAAAATTTTTGCTTATCAGGGAGCTCATTAAAAAAAAAAATGGGTATGGAGTTTTATTGCCCCTTCAACTTTGGTATAAAATCTAAAGTGCCAGCAGCGTAAAAAAATGTCAAGCGGAAAATGTATCAAAAAGAAAGCAGAAAGCATATGAAAAGCAAACATAACTGCGTGTGCAAGGAAATTCCAGGTTGTATTTCCCTTATAAGAGTTACAAATCAAACTTTTTAATATCTACA